CTAGTCAGTTAATTTTTCCGTCGATTTCAAATGTAGAAAAGGTGATTTTTGGTCTGTACTCTCAGAAGAAATTGAGTGTTCTTGATCCTCGATTATCCCAGAATTTGATGGTGGGGGAGTATGACACAATTAACACATCACATAACCCAGCATACTCGAGTATGCTTGATTATCTTAGCGAAAAATTGTCTATTGTTGCTATGTCGGTTTGTGCTTAAGCTTGCAGCAAAGTGCGCCTTGGAGCAAGGTCATAAGCCGAACGCAAATCGAAGAAAACCTGAAACCCTTGTTACAGTTGTCAATAATCTCAAAAAAAATTGCTTTTTTTGCTTTTGCTTCGATATTAATTTTGTTTTACTGATTAACGAGTAGGTAAATTAGTAATGGACCTAAAATAAAAGTTAAAAAATCGGGGAAAAAACGGAAACGCAACGCAAACCGAATTTATTTTTTTTTTAAATATTTTAGGTTATAATTTTTCAAAAGTGACAACGGGCTCGATTGTAACCCGAACGCAAAAGAGAACACTCTGAGAGCTAAAAGGAACTGGGTCTTATCGTTTCGAACGCGTTCGGAGTTCACCGAGTGTAGAGCCGAACTCAGCCTAGCAATCGATAAAGTGCTTGCGGTACTAATAGTTGTATTCCTTTCAAGCGTTTGAAACACTCGAGCTACTCGCTCCGGTGTTCAGTCGCCCCCGATTTCGTAAGGATTTAGATCTGTGGTGCATCAAATACTATTCGAAAGGAATAAGCGCGTGAAGCGGGGCTTCACGCGCTTATTCCTTTCGAAAAGTGTTTGTTGCACCACGCATATGTTCCCTGCAAATCGGGGGCGACTAAGCACCGAAGCGAGTAGCACGAGTGTTTCAAGCTCTTCAAAGGAATACAACTATTGCAACTATTGTGCTACAGGTGCTACAGTGTTGCCGTTTCGCATTTACATAGCAGACATGCATTTACAGAAATCTTTTTGACATTTTAAAAATTTAATTCATGTTTAGGAAAAGAGATGGATGACGCGAGCGCTCCTAACGACGAAAACATTTATTGGTCTTTTTATTTTCCATAAGGTTAGGCATCTTAACGATTGGTGTATTTCTCTTGAGAGACGAAGTATTGTAATTTTCATCAAGATGACTATTTTCAACTAGCGCTGTGTATCATTAACTTTTTCCACCTTGACTTCCTTTACTTTAGTCCAGTCAACATTATTGCCGTTGTCGAATTTACGGATGGATCGTAGACGTATTTTCTCAGAAAGTAATTTGAAATCGTGAAAATCGGTGTTTTCCATTATATTGACATTATACAGAAGGGATCGGCGGCAGTTGTGCCGGTATAAAAATATCTCCTGCTGTAGAAATAGCTGTTGATATAGAGCTATGGGCGGAATCCCCAAACTTTGCTCGTGGTTTGTTTCAAAGAAACATAAGGAAATCTTCCTAAGGTTTTTGGTATTTCTTATTGTATAGAGCAACATCGAAAATACAACCGTATTCTTGTTCTGGCGCGGTCTTCGAGTTCTTGGAAATATTTAGCCACACAAGTCGATATATCATTAGCTCCTCGATTACTCATTACTCACTCCTTATTCCCAATATTATAGAATGTAAAATTGAATGCTGACAACCGACTTTTGTAAAATATTACACTATCATTGCTGATTGGAAGTAAAATACTACTCTCTGTGTCTCAAGGCCTGACATGGTTTATATTATTGATTACAATTCATGTAATTAACCCCTAATTGTTGCAAGTCGCCTCGGACGAGCAAAATTCTCTTGTCTTTTGGCTCTCACTCACTCTCGCCGGGCTCCAACGCGCCTGTATATCGTTGTGTTTTCAAGTTTTCATCTCAGTGGAAAATTCCCTAACTGCCGGGTGAATAGTGATAAATGGATAAATAATCGCCTTGTGGATTTATCTGCATGAACCGGATTAAGCAAGTAAGACCGTTAAAATTTCTCTAACAGTCGAACAATAAATACTGATTAATGATTCGCTTGAAATGCACTATAATTTGAAGTGTCTTCTAACGTTTAATGCAGAAATTTGGTTTTCACACTCGTGAAATTAACATTTATACATTTGTATATAGAAACTGAGCATATACAGGGTGTCCCACGAGGTTCCTCCCAAATGATCATTTCGGAACGCATTATCGTATGTTCCACTGTATAATTTTCTGTCATATTTTTTAACAAAGCCTTAACAAATTTGGCATAGCTGATTTTGTAATTTAATTTTCTAACGAAAAATACCATAATATACCATGAGTTACATTTAGGATTCGAAAGTTGACGTCACTTGACCGAAATTGAAGCAAAAATGGTAAAATTGGATGACAATTGTCGAAGCGGCACAAAAAGTTACCCAGATCCTCAAAATTTCAATTATATTGGATGACGCGTTCCGAAGTTATCACCTGGGAGAAACGTCGTGGGACACCCTGTATAAAGACTTTTCTTGCACATATTGTTTACAGACTTCCGCAGAAAAGTGCTCAAATTCTCAAATTGTTAACTCTCAATAAATAAAAGAACTTTCAAGGATCAATAAACATTTTGTGATTACAGTGAACTGATTGAAGTTGACGAATTATTTATGTTGTGAATTATTTATGTTGTGCTCTCGTGCATTTAATTAGTTAATTTGTGTTCTCGTTCATTGAACATTTAACCATAAATGATGCTATTATCATTATCAGATTTCCCTACCCTTTATAAATCAAGATACTCATTTACTTTAGATTAGTATAAAATTTGTAGTTCGACTGGACGTCCAATTAGGAATTTTTAGATAGGATTTGATTGCTGACTACCGAATTACTTCCATTTATTAATTAAATTGATAATTATTCTATTTCAGCGTTTTATTTGTATAAATGAGAATCAAGGCAACCCCTAACCCAATACAAGGCTTAAATGATCCAATACCTAGTGGTTAATTTTTACAGTTAGTCAAAGTCAAAGTAAAAACTTTTGGCATCCCTGGTGCGGTTTGACTAAAGCCCCAAAAAGGGGCAATAGCTAGTTCCGTCACACACAGCATTCCCCCCTCTCGAAAAAGCGTTTTCTTGGGTCCTCGGACCGATAGAAGGGGAATCTGCTAGAACATGCTTTTTCTCTGTCCTTATTCCACTGAAGCCTCTGCCTATCAAACTGCCATCTCTTTCTTTGGCACTGGAAATCTCTGCATGTAAGAAGTTGCGTTGCCAACCAGATAGTTTGGTACCTACCTTGAGTTGTCTTAGCGATTCTTGAGATATGATATGTGCAGATTTTATCGATACAAGGTCACATTATATTAGAGACGAGCAAAGTTAGTGAACACGCCAAAAAAAAATAGCCTAGGGCACCTATTCTTACTCCAACTGAAATGGCAGCAGACACGACCTTGACGTCACCCGACCTTGACCTTGGACTTCCCCATCCTTCTAAGCCGACCTTCTAGATCTAGTAATCCGTTTTTACTTTCCCTTAATAATCATAGATGAAATCCTAGCATTTTCTGATTCTCAGGTAACTTTACATTGGGTAACAGCATCTCCACATAAATGGCGAACCTTTGTAGCCAATCGCGTGTGCCCTCTGGCGTATCCAGGGGGAGGGGGCAAAGGGGGCAATTGCCCCCCTCCCAGAGCAACATCTTTTTATTCCTTCTATTTTTTAAAAATTTGTCAAATAATAAAAAAATAAATTCAAAAATGTACTGAAATTAATTTAATCAACAACACTTTTTTCAACTACATGAACAGGTAGCTTTTACGTACTGTACGCTGTGCTTGACAATCAGGAAATAAAAGTCAGAATACTAGTTTTATATTCAGCGTTATGTATATTACTAGCTGCCTAGCGCTTTCGCCTTTGAGCCATCATCACTCATCAGGGCTCAGACTTTATTGATATGACCTATTTAGATGGAAATTAAAAAAAAAAAAAATCTATAGATTAGTAGATTCATCCTTTGTCTTTAATTTGCCATTTGAATTTTTCGAAAAGTTTGTAAAATGAGGTTGCAATCGCGCAACACCTAAGTCTCTGCAATCACAAATTTTGCGTCCATATAGCGGCACCATCTACTATAAATACAAATTTTGATGGTACTTCGGTTTATTTGTGTCCAGGCCCATACTTAGGTGATTTTGTTTTTAGTTATATACCTACTGCGATAGCTCTTCCTCGTGGCTTCAACCGCCGTTTAATTTCAGCATAGACAATATATAATATAATTTATGAATTACTTCTAACTTTGACAACAGTTGTACTATCGTAGTACTGATGTAATGAGCTATATCACTAGTGATGAAATAAAGGCCATAACGTTATTATTAAAAACACAGATTTTTTTTTCACAATTTATTCATTCAAACAAATACTTATTTATTGTAAATACTAAAATTAAAACTAATACCTGCTGATAACAGTACGAAAATTTAAAAAAAATCCATTTTCCTACAGCCGTGCGGAAAAATCAATTTTCCGCACTGATATGCGTGCGGAAAATGAGTTTTTCCGCACGGCTGTCAGTGCGGAAAAATTTTTATCGCACGGCTGGCGAAAAAAAAGAAAAATTCTACATTTTTACGCCTGTAGGAAAAATATTGTATCTAACACTTGCGGAAAATATTTTTCCGCATTCGGCTGCTTTACCGGCAGCCGCGTGAGGAAAAAATTCATTCATTCACTATTTCAGTTATCTACCTACGGTAAAATGATTGTTTCAATTTTTCAATTAACAAACAAGATATTGACAAATGAGAAATTAACAAATGAGAAATGACAAATAAATTGAAACATTACAAAACACCGGTACACAAAAAAAAAATCTGGTTCGTAGATCCAGGTAATAATATTACAGGACGCCGAGCGGTAATGATATTGCCGCACATGGTACTTACCGTACGCAAAATCGTGTGGTATACCTTAGTTACCGCACGGTTGTAGATAAATAACTATTAATAAAATTTATATCTTGTTAAAATTAAACTATGTATTTTTAAGATTTCTCCTGAATAGCTTTAATTATGTAATCAGGATCTTTTATGGGCATATTTCGGGCTCTTCTAGAGTCTACTAGCTCTGGTAATAAACAATTTAAATAAAATTTACACAGAAGTGGTTCCATAGAAGTAGACCAAAATGTAGTGTCATGGAACATAGTTTCCGACTTCATGCCGTGTGGAGTCCAAACGGCAAACACACAGTAGGAACGATGAGTAACATGCAACTGCCCCTGTATTTGGTAATACCATTTGTGCTTCTTATTAATGTCACCGTTTCTAAGCCAAAAAGTTATTTTCCTTTGTCTTATACCTTCGTCTGGTGTTAAATCTCTAGCGGAATAAGGACACTTAATTTCTACTATGCCCAGATCTTCAATTAAACCATCAGGACTTGCCGCCAAAAAATAATGTTCATTGCTAATAAAGAGTCCACACGGTTTAATTTTTTTACCAATTTGACGCTCTAACTGCTCTACTGCAATTATCTCATTTTTTTTTCCGTAATCGCAAGCGGCTGAGTAAAATTGTTTTGGATAAATTATGGACTCTACCAACGACTTGCAGCTGGTAGTATTCTTATTACGTCTGCAGACAAGTCCAAAAAATGACGCAGTCAAGCGTTTTCTCCTCTCCAAGTACCAAAGATCAGAGTTTGCTTGATTTCTAGTAAAATACTCAATTTCATTGATTTCCTCCGGTGTTTTTTGTATTTGACCTAAAAATCTATCTTTTGCTTCGGTGTATTCAGTTTCGTCCATATCTGGCTTCTGACAGGCAATACCAGGGGCGTTCCGAAGGCTTTGGTATTGGGGGGGCCGTTACGTCATAATGAGCCAACTGCCAACTCACTTTAAAAAAGCACAAAAAAAAGTTTGGGGTAGGTAATTTATTTGTGGGTAATTCATCAACTTTTATAGAATGCATAAAAAACAGAAAACGTATAATTAAGTTATGATTAATTTGCCAATATCGATTTTTAAAAAAATTAGATTAGTAGGAATGTTATACTTAAATATGTAAATGCAGTAACAAATTCCATTCAGATTGAAGCTCTACTAGGTACCTACCTAACTTATTTTTCTACCGTGTCCATACGTATTTTTCTATTTTTTATATAGTCCATAGAGTCGGCCAAGTCCTTCTCACTTTTGAGGGACATTAAGGTGATCTTGGCCGTTTCCACCAACTAATTTGGGGGAGCCCTAACTTTAGGTATTCCTCAAACTGACATTTCTCCATGGAAGACTATCATTTTAAGGAATACTTATCGTTAAGGCTCCCCTAAAATAGTTGGTGAAACGGCCACTAGTCTTTCTTTTCCCATAGTTGTACGTGAGCAAAGACTGAGTAATTTTTTACGAATTTTAGTTAGAATTTTCGCTCATTGGTTGCTACTCAAGGTGAGTTCGGCTTGGCAAAACGGAGTTGGAACAGATAGAGAGCTGTCCCATAGCCACGTGATCACAGAGTGAGTCGAACGCATCAGGAGCAAGGCGAGCCGCGGGCGCTTATCCCCATCACAAACCGAATATGTGTTTTTGCGGATATTTAGGGGGAGCGATGCCATTTTTTCTACCAGGACCCCAGAAGGTGTCCAGGCCCTAAGCATAAAATATCTTCTTTGAATTATTTTCGGTAGGATCGTTAGCATAGTGAATTATTAAAAACTTAAATTTTACCGCCTTTTGGAAATAAAGGAAATGCGCATGCCCGCTCCTCGAACTTCATCTCTCGAGGTGGTGCTTCTGGAGTTATCTCTTTTCACTTTACTTGGCTGTACCCGAACGATGAGGAGCTTGCACTATTTGCTCCCAGTGGCCTGACCCGAACGATTTTGCAGTAAAAAGTGTCAAAGGAGTCAAAAGAGTTGCCAAGTCGAACTCACCTTGTGAATATCCTGCAGTAAAGTAGAGTTGGAATGATTGAAATGCTTTCTTGAGTGAATTTTTATTTTTTAATGCTACTTTTACTACTTGTTGGATGTTATCAATAGTTTTGGTATGTTTATTACATAGGTCAAAGAGAATTTCAATCTCTGTTGCAAGAGCGTATGCAGCTGGTCTAAAATTTTGAGGATATATACAGGGTGTTTGGTAGGTCGATGCATATATTTTGGGAGCTGAAAGAGTAAGTCATTTCGAACCTATTTAGTCAAACTTACCTTAGTACCAAGTCCTATGGTTTTCAAAATATGGCCGATTTAATTTTTTCCTAAAAAAATCTCAGAAATCCTTCATTGAGCGCTTTAATGCGATATTGAGAAATACTTTCTCGATTATTTTTGTTTTGTATCTTAATAGAATGTGTATTTCTTGAGTCAAATGCATTAACAATAAAATAAATAAAAAATTAATACTAGGAGTGCTATTTTAAAGTCATACTAATTCCATTGCAAGTTAAGCTTTTTTTTTGTAAAAAAATAGGATAAAGACAACCAACGTTTTCATAGTTATGTATACACCAAGAGAGTTAAATAAATGTTTATTTATGAGAAAAAAGGTTAACCCACGAGCCCCAGCGAGTGGGTTAATGAACGAATAAACATTTTAACTCAGGTGATGTATACAAAATTTTATCCCATTTTGTGAAAATTTAAAAAATAAAGTACAAGGAAAACTGCGCACTTGTTAGGAAAATAAGTATTTTCACATGTGCCTTTTCGAATTGCACATATCACGAAAAAATTACAATTTTTTTTTTGGATTGCAGCACAAAAATCATTGATTAAGACTACAGATTCCCAAAAATAAGTAGGTATTTACGGAAAAACCTGGACTACTTAGCCTCTTTTTTCTTCTCTTTAAAAACAAAATTATCACTTTTAAACTGAAATAAGTGAACAGTTTGTTTACGTCTGGCTTATTTGTGTGATAATTTGTAATGTTGTTGCCTAATATTGCATTGAAGCACCGAACGAAGGAGTTGATTAAGAAAAAATAAAATCGACCATATTTTGAAAACCATAAGACTTGGTACTAAGGTAAGTTTGACTAGGTTCTAAATGACACTCTATCGAGTCTATCGCATCTCAAAATATTTGCATCGACCCACCAAACACCCAGTATAAATCAAGTACTAAATTGACATTTGTCATAGATAGGTATGTATGTACATTATGTCTAGAGAGAGGAAATGGGTACATTCAGGCGGTGCCAGTGGCTAAGTTCAGCCACTCAGCAAGGACTTTATTATCGAAACAGGGGAGCAGCGTTTTCATGAGAACGAAGGTTCTATGTTCGTCGTCCGTATTCATATTTCCAAAACACTGCAATGACAGAGCAATCGTTCTCATGAGAACGCTGTTCCTCGGTTTCAAGAATAAAGTCCCTGCTGAGTGGCTGAGCTTAGCCGCTGGGAACGCCTGAATGTACCCAATGAAAATAAACAGGTGAATCCGCGCATATTTTTGAAAATAGTAGTTAAATTATCGTTTAAAAAACTTATTAGGGTATCTAAAACTTTATAAAATTCCTTTTTTTAGAACGTGTTTAAGTCAATTTTAGAAGTATTAACACTGCCGTTTTCTCTTACCAACTGGCGTGGGGATTAGAAACCAACTAGATATTTTTTTACCAACTGGAGTGGACATTGGGGGTCTTACCAACTGGCGTGAGGATTGGAAACCAACTAGACATTTTTTTACCAACTGGAGTGGACATTGGGGGGGGGCGTTGCCCCCCCTGCCCCTCCCATGGGTCCGCCCCTGGGCAATACCATAGCTTTCGCTACCATCATCAGCTTTTGATATTTTTTTAGTAAACAGTTTTTTAGCACATTTTCGTAGCGCTCTACTATTTTTTCTCATTCGACAAAACTCCAATTTTTTCGATAATTTACTTGGAGTACTTCCCTTATTTAGCTGTTTCCTCAATATATAGTATAATATACAGTATAAATGGGCATTTTGGTATTATGGCTTACCACGGCGGCAGCGCATCTGCTTTGGTACGAACGCCTTCTACAATAATTTATTCTCTTTCCTCCTATAAATTTCGCAATTATGGAATTGAATTGCTCCACACTGTTGTTGTCTACATCGTGAATTAAACTTGAAGCATGGCGAATAAGGTAATTTTTGAAGCTGCATAATTTATCATACAGATCTGAAATTGAAAAAAATTAAAGGTAAAAATATATTACGTTCGATTACAAGAAATTCAAAAATAGCTATTTATATAACAAGTACATAAAGTAAGGCTTTATTGTACGAATAATTTTATGTCCGAGCGAGCTTGCGAGCGAGGCTATTTAATAATGAGTCAATAAAGCCTGTTTATGTAAGCATGATTTTATGTACGATTACGACTGGTTTTTGTTAAAAATTGGAAAATTTAATGAAAAAAATAAAATTCGCGTAGGTATACCTGTTTTACCTTGGCAGGTTGTCAGGACCTGTTTCACCTTGTCAGGTAGTCCAGGTAGGCAATAAAGTAGCACTTTATTTTACTAGTAAAATAAAGTAGCACTTTATTTTACTAGTACAATAAAGTGCTACTTTATTGGCGCAACACTGTTCTTTAAATAGCACTTTATTGGCCAATCGGACATAAACAATTTTATTAAAACACAAATATGTTACTTAAACTAAACATTCACGGGTGTGATCATAAAAAAATACCACAAGATGCGAATTTCATCATATTTTGCATTATCGACTATTTGAACTTACCAGTCAATTTCAAATCTTTTAGTGCACATTCACCTTGGTCAAATGGCTTTTCGCAAAAGTATCCAATCGACTTGCACTCTTTGTGTTCTCCAAACACATGGCTCATGGAATTTTCTATGTCTCTTTTCAATTTAACGATTTTTTCCGATAATGTCAAATCGTTTTTGTTTTTCCAATGTTTAATAGCTTTGTCAATAGCCCATCGAAGTCTCAGTTGATTTTGCTAAAACATAAACTACTATTAACAGGGGCTTTTTATTTTATCAAACTTTATTGTTTGCTATCATTATTATGATTATGTACATACCTCAATTTTTTTTCGTAAAATCAAAGGGCCGGAGCTTGTATCCTTAACTAGCTCCCTAATTTTTTTGGAGTAGTTTCTTAACATGTGGTTTTTGCATTCAATTTTTTCAACCTTCAAATGTGGGTACGGATGGATGTCCAGAATTTTTTTAAATGTGCTACTATCACCATCAGCTATAACTTTGTGGTAGATGAGATTGTACATTTCTACACTTCTTTGGAAACCTTCGGCGATTATATCTGATTTCATGCTGGCTGCAGATCCCGACCAATTCTTGTAGCATTTGTGTGAGGTCTCAGTCGGCGATTCATTTTTTTCCGCAATATTGCACATTGTGCAAAATCTATTTCTGACACCGAGAAAAAGCACTTTTTTAGTTTGGTAACCAACAATTGCGGCAGCTCCAGATAATGAATTATAACTGCTTCCATAAGAGCGTTTTGCCCACGTCCCATCAGCAACAACAGTTATGAGTGGTGTGCCTGTATGGTCAACATCCCCGTTAGCGATAGCTAATGCTCGTTCTTCCTCTGCAGCTTCTTTCATGTACTTCACAGCTGTTTCTTCCCACAAATCGCAAATATTTTCATGTACAGAACTGTAAAGTTTCTCAGATAAACATGGAATATCCAAAGAAGTGCATATTTGTTGTAAGTGAGCAAATCCTGATCCAATGGATATAATTCCAAGTACTGCATTATTATTGACGTTATCGTCGGTAACTTTTGATGTCGGAATTTCAAATTTTTCATTGCACATGTTACATGTCACATGAAGAATCG